AAAGCTATGAATCCTTAAGTATGAACCTGAAAAGCTATTAAAAATAAGATGATCATGTCAAAATTAAGCCCAAAATACAACAGCCTAGAGGGTCTTTAAGATCATTATTAGCTATCAATTCTATCCAAATAACAGAATTCATACTACAGCTGTAGTGCAAATATAGTTTGAATGATCAAACAGTATCACTTATGAATGTTAATATAGCAAAGCTGGTTATTCAGCATCATATTAATTCAGCATCATATTAACGTAAATGATGGTATTTCTCTTGGTGTTTACCATTTAAAAATATATTTGGGACTATTTGCTCAAAAGATATATAATCACTGAGCATTAATAACTACAGGGTATTCATAATGAAACAACTAAAATAGGGTTAAACACCTATGTGTATACAGGAGGCTATTTCTCTGGTGTAAAGTTCTGAAGTCCAAAATTAAAGAGGTGGTATTATCTAATACTTACTGAACAATATATACAAGTCATTACGCTAAGCACCAAAACAACAAAAAAGTGTTAGGTTTAATATACCCTACAACTAGATTGCAAACTATGGACAAATAGTGGAGAGAACAAAAATTTACTATTATATATTAATTAAGGACGAATGTATACAAATAGTTCCATAAGAATGAAATAGAAATTGGATAGTACAGAGAAAGGGAAAAAGAAAAAGGGATCCTGGGAAGATAACATTTAAATTAGCATTTCTAGCAGCTTACATTTTCTTACGCATGGTTACCACATCTGATAGGAGGTTTAAGGAAACCTTGCGAGGCAGGGGGGAGGGGCTGATACTGAAAGGGATTAGGCAGCTTGCCCAAGATCATAGGTCAGGAGGTGGCAGACCTAGAGCCAAGTCTGCCAACTCTGTTCAGAGCTTATTTCTGTTACACCAAGTTATCAATCTAAAGCGAGAACTAGAAAACTCAGAAATCTTCTAATGCAGTGTTTCCTTAACCAATGTGATAAAAATTCTCTGGGACATGCATTCCCAGGGATTCCCAGACCCCACTACAGACCTACTGAATGATAGTCTCCAGAAGAGAGGTTTTGTATTTTTACAAGAATTCTTAGGTGATTCTAGTGACTAGCTGAGCTTGGAAAATACTGCTGCCTATCTCTATGCCCAGCATGGCAGACATATGGCTATTTAAATTTACATTGATTAAATCAATAAAACAAAAAATGTGGTTCTTTGGTCACATTAACTACCTTTTAAGTGCTCACTCAATTGCTGCATGTGGCTAGTGACTACCATACAGGACAGCACAGGTATAGGGCATTTCCATTACTGCAGAAAGTCCTACTGGACAATGCTGATTCTACACCAACCCTTCGACTGAGGATAAGAAAACTGAGGCACAGAATATTGTCCAGTACGTGCCATGAAGCAAGTTAGTGGCAGAACTGAAACTCTAACCTCCTCTGCCAATGCCCACTTTACCCCATCTCTAATTCAGAGAATAATTTTCTTTCCACCCTTTCTTGTGGGTTCCAGCAAAGCAAGAAGAGAAATTCTAAATTTGTGGGAAAAAAATAATTCTTAAAGAAGTTCATTAAAAAAAAAATCATTATTAAATTGAAACCAAGCTTCAATCTAAGCATTAAGATTAAAAGTAATTTTGGACAGTTAAAATACGTCCTGATGTTATGGGGCATATTTTAGCTTGTTTTAACTATTTTAAGTCCTTCTTTTTCCATTTTCCTGGTTTTTTATCTTTCTTGGATTTGAAATCCTGAAACTAATGATACATTTCAATTATAATTGTATCAGTTATAATTATCTTAAAATTATAAATGTGAAATGGTTAAATCTTATTTAGTAGACATTTTAGAGATGAAAAATTGAGAAATAAGGAGCAACCAGAAGAAAAGTGACTTGTCTAATTTTTGCAGTCACTCAAACCACTGAGCACTTGTGATTTATAGTATTTATACCTTAATACATTGTTTCCACTTCTAAGCTACAGTTTTACATTTGACTACTATGTTATGTTTTAAAACTGATTTTAATTTCCAATGTAACTGAGGAACTGGAAGCACTTGAACATCTGTGAAGGTTCAGACACTAATTAGGTTAACATACAGCCAGCGGTAAAACACATAGCAATGTCTTCTTCAAAATAAAACCAGTTGTTCCTGTCTAGTATGTTCAGGATACAAATGTCTCCAAAGTCAGTCAGCTCAAGTCATGATAGTTCATGTTTAAAGCAAGCAGGAAATAACTTGGAGCTCCATATGACAGTATTTAAAGCTTTAAAGACAAAATTATGCAGCTCTATTAACTCTTTTTAGTGTCTAGCATCCACTGCCATGTTAAATTCCAGTGACTAAATTTAGAGGAAATACTGTATATTAAAGTTTGTATAATATTAAGTTAAATGGTTAAAAAACATGCCCCAGATACTTATAAACTAATACTTATTTAAGACTTTTTTTGCCATAATTTGCAAGGCATCCAGAAGCCTGAGGTGGGATTCTACATAAATAGGAGTCATTTGTTATTCAGAGGTGGTGGTGCAAAAAGACTATTTTCTATTTAAACACTCTTTCGTATTGAGGTAAACAACCTAAGAAACATACAGTCTAAGCACACTAGAGAGCAGAGCAAAAGGAGGAGAGGAAAAAAATGCCTATGCTCTAACATTTTAAACAGGGAGCTGGAAGTATAAAATGAAATCTATTCGCTAGCTTTTAGACCAGATTTATTACTTCTACATTTTATGTTATGTCTTGACTCCCACTTTACCATATTAGGAAGGGGAAATCATGTGCCCTCAAAATTCCTATGCCAACAAAACTACTTTTGGTGGCAGTAGAGCTCACCAAGTGAAGAACATCAGAAAAGTGACAGACAATAATAGAAACTGAACTCTCAACTACCAAGTGCTAAATGGTGGGGTGTACTACTAATGTAAAGAGTATTAAGAATAATACAAACTCTAAGCAAATATTAAAATGTTGCCTAAGTTTCAAATCTCATAAAAGAGTTGGGGGGAAAAACAGAAAAAAAAGAAAACATTGTGTAGGAGGGACCCTGAGAAGGAAGAGCAGCTTGAAAGGAACACTCAGGTCAAAAGGAGGGGAAGAAAGGGGCCTTTTGATCATTCCTTTACCAGGAGCTGCTTCTAACAGCTTCAGTACTCTTCCCAGGAGGCAATTTTAAGCGTCCTTCTTAGGAAAAGTGATTTAGGCAACAAGCTTTGAGACAGAAGAACTAGAGAGACGATGCTAGAATTTAACCTCAAAAAGACGCACAAATGAGAGAAAACAGCCACGAAATTGCCAGGCCGTAATTCCGAAGCTTCCTGTAGGAAAATACCCACTTATTCTCAGGCATATAAACCAGCACTTCTGAAACTGACCCAGCCGGGTGTTCAGCTGGCCCTCACTATCTCTCAAACCCTCCTCCCTCCACTTCCCTGCTGTTCTTTCCTGGCACACAAAATATAGGCCAATGAGCGGTGGGTGGGTGAGGAGGAGGATGTGAGAGAAAATTTGAGAAGTTAAAAAAGGGAGCAACTTAACAAGGACGTGAATGAGACTACAGGGTCTATTAAGGGCAGTCAACAATCCGAACTACTGAAAAACGGAATGGGCTTTCCTGGGCAGCAGTGAACGCTCAGTGTTTGCAGGGGTTTTAAGCAGAGGCCAGACTACCTACCACTTGTCAGAGAGGCTGCGGAGGGGACGGCTGCTTTGGGTGACCTCTAATGTCTCTTCCGACTCTGAAACGTTAGGATTCTTATTTCACAAAAGAGAACGCAAAGGTCACAGAAGCCCACCGACTTAGAACCCTTTTAAACTTAAAGCAGTCTAGGCGGCTGCTTCCCAAACACCACTCCCACCTCTCCCTCCCACACGTGCCCACCCCGCCCCCTTTCAATATTTCCACCTCCACGTGCGAAATGCCTCGCGGCACTCGCCCCAAAGGGGAGAGGCGCCTTGCCCAGCAAAGCACCCCAACTATGCCCCCCTGGGGGAAGTGAGAACTCCACTCTCCCACCCCAGGCAGCTGAAAAAGTCTCAAATCCAACCTCGCCCTCACACCCCCTAGCCAGAGCTGAAGGGGGAGGGGGGCGGGACACAGGAAAACTTTCTTCTAAATTTTTTCTTTCAGAAAGTGTATACAGAGTGTAGAGAGAACCCCGACGAGTCCGGGGCTGAGGGGGTGGGGGGAGGGGAACCCCCGGAATCGTTTAACGGCCGGTAGGGGGAGGGGAGCTCCGGAGGTTGAGGGGGCGTGGGGTGGAGAAGCAGGCCTGGGAGCCGGGTCAAGTAGCTGAAGGGGCTCCTGGGGTCGGGGAGCTGCAGGCGTCCCCCCCACCTGGCACACAAAGCGACTGCCGCGCTCGGCTCTCACCAGATCCTTTGTGCTTTCCATCAGGGCCTCATGGGTAGGGGTTGTCCGTGCTCCCCGGGCCCGCGGCGCCCCCTCCCCGAGCTGGGGGCAGGCGCCTCTCCCCGGGGCTACGGCGACTACAGGGGTGCCCCGGCTGGGCCCACACCGGCGGCGGCTGCGGCAGCCCCCGGATTTCCCCCCCTTTAACTAGGGTGGCCCCAGGATATCAACAACATTAGCATAGCCCTCCCTCCCAGCGCGCCTGCGCCGTGACCCGCGCCCCGATTGGCCCACTTCCCTACATACCCTCCTCGCTCTCTTCCAGCGTGGGACCCTCTGCAGGCTCCGTACTCCAAGGGCCGTACCAAAACGAAGGGGTGGAAAATGCAATACGGGCTCGTGTTAAGTACAGTGGTTAAAAAGTCAGAAGGAAGAGTAAAAGTTTCACTCAGCCATCTAAGTTTATACTGTGACTTTCTCGTACTCCTTTCAATCAGTTGCAGCTGCTAAGTTGTGTTGGAAAAAATTTTCCACTCCAGTCACGCCGCCTCCCCCTCCACCCGGAAGATTGGTCCTCCCGGAGGAACTCCCCTACGGGGAGGGGTTGGTGCGGGGGAGTGGGCGTTACGTAGGGCAGGAGTGTTGGTCACGTGCTAGTAGGCTGCGCAAGCTTCTTCCAGGGCCCCGGGCCCTCAGCGGCAGCCGAGAACGCAGTGCCTCGGCGCACGCGCAGTGAGGATCCACGTGAGCGCCTGCGTTTCTTAAACCCAACGATGCCGCCGGAACGGAGGAGCCGAACGAGACCGAACCGGAGAACCCGGGCGGGGCCGAACCGGAAGACCCGAATGAAGCCGGACAGGATAGCCCGAGGGAGACCGGGTGGGCCGCCCCGAAAGGCCGCTTATTCATCCCAGCGGAAACTGCCGGCTCGGCCGAGAGCAGCGGCTGCTGCGATCGCAGTCGCGGCAGAGGAGGAGAGACGGCTCAGGCAGCGGAACCGTCAGACGCTGGAGGAGGACAAGCCGGCCGTGGAGCGGTGCCTGGAGGAGCTGGTCTTCGGCGACGTCGAGAACAACGAGGATGCGCTCCTGCAGCGTTTGCGAGGCCCACGGGTGAGGGAGGCTGTGGCGCGCGGACCGGGAGCTCGGGCGGGGCGAGCGGTTCTCAGAGATCAGGAGGCGGAGCCTGGGCGACCTGCGGCGCCGGGAGCACCCAGGTGGGAGGGAGTCGGCGAACGCGGGCGCCGAGAGGGTCTGGCAGTCTGCAGAGGGCGGTGACCGCGCCTTTCCCCGCCCTGGTTGGAGCGGCTGTGCCTAGTGTCCAGCAAGCGCTCAGCACGTATTTGTTAAGTGAACTATAGCCATGAGCATATTTCGTGGCTCAGCCCTACTGTCCTCAGACTCAGTGTTTCTTCTTTCGTGGTCGTTCGATCCCCGGCTTTAATACGTTGTAGTGATTGAAGAATTCCACTTCGTTTTTGAAACCAGAATCGTGGGCACGGCCTTGGGAATGTGCGTTTTAACATCTCTCCATGTGATTGACTCACCAACTTTGAGAATGACCACGTATTCCTCTATTCAACAAATATTTGTGAGCCTGTTGGGTGCCAGATATTTTTCTTGGCGATGAAACCCGGCGTGATGATAATTTTTGTGCACTCATAAGAAATCATCTCTTTTATTATATACCTGTTTTTCCCCCCGAAGATAGGGAACCTCAGGCATTGTTCTAGGGCCTGGAGGAGAAACAGCATTGGAAAACACCTGACAAAAAAAAAATCCCTGCCCATTTGAAGCTTATGTACTAGGGGCAGAGGCAGAACATAAAGAGATAGGTACTGCTGTAAAAGTCACAATAAGTGCTGAAGAGGGAAAAAAGAAAACATGAGGGGGGGAGATAAGTGTGTGTAGAGAAGGCCTGTGAAATTTTACATAAGGTGGCCAAGCAAAGCCTCACTGATAACTGCAGTTTGATAAATAACCATGGACCTAGCAAGAACCTAGGTCCATGATTGCTAGAAAGTCATTTGGGTGCTTCTGGGAGGAGCTGCAGAAATCTGGTAGGTGTGCAGAGAACACTACTGGAAAAATGCTGAACCGTGTGATCGTTTCTTAGGAAAAGAAAGTCTCTGTGGGGTGAGATTTATCAGCCTTTGAAGGATCATAGGCTGGTAATAGCCAGTAAAAATCGTTCGTTCATTTCTACCAGTGCAGAAAAGGCAAGCTCACTCAGGATATTCTGAGGTCTAGATTTAGACTTGATAGTACAGTGTAACATTTCTTAAGAAGGTGGAGATCAGGAATGACAGGAAAATGGAGAAGAGGTATATCTTAGAATATGAACTATGAGTTAACCAGGACATTTAATTATTTTATTTTATGTTGGATGCTAGTCTGCCTCTGGTCCCATAAATTCTGTAGTTATTGGATTTTTGGTGCTCCTTTCTTCACCTGTCAGCTTACTTTTTGTTGTTATTGTCTTGGTCTTTTCCTTTGAGCACGTTGATGTTCTCTCCTTGACTGTTCCATCTTACCTCATCTGTCCAGTGTGGTACCATTCTCTTATTTCCTCATTTTCTGTTCTTCCCCTAGCATTTGCTGTGGTACCACTCTCTCATTATTTCATCGGAGGGCTGTAAAAACAAAACATTCCATAAGCCATCTAACTTCATGTGTGTCTGCCATGACGGGATATGAAAAACTCAGTGCTGGAGGGCATTTTGTCTTCTCTAGGTTCACATTCAGGAAGACTCAGGTGACTCGGATGTGGAGAATGAAGCAAAAGATAATTTTCCACCTCAGAAGAAGCCAGTTTGGGTGGATGAAGAAGATGAAGATGAGGAAATGTAAGTTGCCAAATTTTTCTTCCAGAATCCCGCTGGATACTTTAAAAGTTATATTGCAGGTTTGAAAAAAGTTTTCTGTACAAATAATGTGATTATAAGATTTGAGAAATACTGGAAAGTATAGGAAAGAAAAGGTCATTCATAATCCTGCCACTGAGGTTGAGCCACTGTTAATATGTTTATATACTACTCTCTCTCTCGTCTTCTGAGTGTACCTTCTAATTTGGCCAGTTCCTAACTGACCATGGGCCAGTTTGGAACTACCTTTTCTTGTTTGTAAATGGAAATAATGATAGCAACTATTGGTTTGGCCAGAGTCCATATGGTGGTTTTCTGTATAATAAAAGATGCATTTTTCATTTTCACCAATAACTTTGTTGATTTGGATATTTTGAGTATGTCACCTATATCCCACGTGGTATGATGTTGACTGTTCTCCGTTACTGTTTCAATTTGATCGCTATCAACTTCAACTGGTCTACCTGACCGTGGAGCATTGTCCAGTGAGAAATACCCAGCATGAAACCTCGCAATCTCTCTTGACATGTTCACTCAGTCACAGCACCTTCTCTGTACATTGCACAAATCTTTTGTGTTTCAGTTGCATTATTACCTTTCTTGAAATAATAAAGCATAATAAGCTGAAAATGTCACTTATTTTTTTTATCTTCAATATTTAAATGGCTACACAAAAATTCACCCAATTTTGCTAAGTTTATTTTTAAATGCCTGCTCATGTGACAGCTGTCACGATACAATCTAACAAAATTGTTTTGAATGAAGTTAAAGACAACTAAGCGCTACTGGAGCCATCTAATGGAAAACAAAACAAAACAAAACAAATGAACTTTTGGCCAGCGGAATATATCAGAAGGCTTTTGAGATAAAATGAAATGGTGTATGTAGAATTTTTAGCACGATGCCTGATATTGAGAAAAGGTTAAAAAAAGCACACACAGTATGCACTTCAGTAGATGAGAATGATTGTATTGCAAATATATCTCCCCACTTAAAAAAAAAAACAACTTCATAAATATTTTTAGAGAGGTGTGCTATATAGCCCATTGTATGGTCATAAGGTCCACAGCTTTACTGGATGGGTATGTAAAAAAATTTTTTTTAATAAGTTAATGTTGAGATATATATCTGTAAATATTGTCCCACCTTTCTAATTATTTCTTTAATAAAGATTCTTGGAGGTAGAATTACTTAATCAAGGAGCAGACATTTTTCAGGTTCTTGATAAATACTGCCAGACTAAGCATGAAGTTCTACCAGTTTCCCAGCCCATCGAGAAGTGTCCATTGCATTCCATTTTTATAAGAAATGACTTATCTTTTTTCAGACTCTGTCAGTTTAATGGGTGGAAAATACTTAATTTGTGTTGAAAACATTTTTTTTATTCATCAGTATTTCTTAAAAATATTCTCTATTATGTTTTTGTCTGTTGGAGACTTCAAGTAAAAATTATATATACTTAAGGTATACAATATGATGTTTTGATGTACATAATAAAGTTATTACTAGTCAAGCTAATTAATGTATCTGTCTTCTCATATATTTCCCATTCCTTTTATTTTTTTTTGGAATGAGAACACCTGAAATCGACTGTCAGTAAATCTGCAGTGTACAGTGCAGTATTATTAAGTGTAGTCATTATGCTGCACGTTAGCTCTCTAGACTTACTCGTCTTACATAATTGGAATTTTGACACTTCTCCCCATTTCCCTTAGGCCACCCATGGTAACCACCATTCTGCCCTCTGCTTCTATGTGTTCTTCTTTTTCTAGATTCCACATATAAGGGGATTATTTGGTGTTTTTTTCCTACATTTCTTACTTCACTTAGTGTAATGTCCCCCAGGTTCATTCATGTTGTCAGAAATGGCAGGATGAGACTTCCTGAATGATATTGCTCTATTGGCTCCTTACACATTGAGGATTTAAAGCCTTTATATGTCAGGTTTATGTAGGCTTTTCTCTGAGCTTTCTCTTTGCTTTTTAATTTTGTTTTTAATGTCTGATAGAATACTTAAATTTTTATAGTCAAATCTGTTAATCTTTGTTTTTGTTGTTAAAAAGTCCATCAGAGAGACAAATGTTTGCCTATATTTTTCCTTCATAGTATTTTAAGGTTTGGTTTTTATATGTTTAATTCTTTATTTTACCTGGAGTTTATTTGGGTGAATGGCATAAGCTGTGTCTAAAGTCTGTATGAATTTGAACTATTAGTTCTTACAGGGTAAATTGGATGATCGGAAATTTTGGAGACTCCTTTGTGTGTTGGGAAGAATGGAGAATGTGTGTCTGAGATGTTCTACATCTTACAAATCTTGACCTATATTTTTCAATTAAATTAGCTTTCTCATACTATCAGAGGCAACAACTATTTATGTTGAGTATTTAAAAATTAGTTAAAGCATACTCTTCTGTTTTTTATAGGATTGACATGGTGAATAATCGTTTTCGGAAAGATATGATGAAAAATGCCAGTGAAGGTAAACTTTCAAAAGGAGACCTTCAGAAGAGACTTAAGGAAGAGTGAGTATCCTTTTTCATATGATTTTAACTAGGAGATATTTATAACCAGTAGTTTATTCTGGTTTGCTCTGACCTTGGTCGTAATAGCTTCTTGAGTAGTATGACTTCCATTTTGAAACAGTGTGAGCATTGCTGTTGGAAGAAACTATTAACCTTTAATATTTTGGGGGAAGAGGGAATACAAGTACAAAAACAATTTGGAAAAAATTTGTAATCCCACTATTCAAATGTAATCAGTGATAATATTGCCTGCTTGTTTGTCTGTCTGTATATGGTAATCCATCTCTTTTTCACAACTTCTAGGTTCTTTTAGTTTAACAGAGCTAGGAAATATGTGTGTATTTTAAAATAATGATTTCATATTGATTCTTCCAGTTCAAACTTGCAAAACTTTAAAAATATTTTAGAGTATTTTAGTTTTGTTTCTATTGACTCTAAAAAATTAATATAGGTTTATTACATTACTACTTTTTTTAAAAGAAGGTTTATTGAAGTATAATATTCTTTTAAATATCTTTTAAAGTATCTTTATTAATTTTGTTAAACACGTACTCAGGTAAGTACCACAACAATTTAAGGAATCAAAACATAGAACATTGCCATCACCCCCAAAAGTCCCTTATACCCCTTGTCGTCTACCCTCTCTCCTCAGCTTCGAATCCCTCTAGACCCTGACAAGCACTGATGCTTTCTGTCCTTACCGATTTGTTTTTCCCAGAGTGTCATGTAAGTGAAACGTACAGTGTGTAGTCTCTTCAGTCAGCTAAACCCATTTAGTGAACCTACTGTTTCAGCTTTAGATCTTTTTAGCTTGAGACCTTGTTTTGTTTTGTTTAGTTTGTCTTCTTTTTTGTTATGTTAAATTTCATTTAAATAGTTGAAAAATTTTTGTATTAGCTATTTCAGAGTCCTTCTGTGCTAATTCTGTTAGGCCTGTCATTACTGTGTCCGTTTCTGTTGACTGATTTTTCTTCTGGTTATGGGTCATGTTTTTCTGCTTCTATGCGTGTCTTGTAATTTTGATTTGATTCTGAGGAGTGTGTTGTTCAGTGTTGATTTTGTTTTTTCTTTTAATGAGTGTTGACGTTTGTGTTGAAAGGCCATTAATTGGCTTGGAGATCAGTTTGATCCTTCCACGATTTATTTTTAGCTTTGTTCTGGAGTAGCATTTATACATTTGGCTGGTTCGGCTTCGTTGCTAAGGTACACCGTTTCTGGGATCTCCTCTGAATGTCCTGAGTGTTCAGTAAGGACCTCCTCTCTCTAACTGGTTGGAGCTTGAGTGTCTGAGTATTTTGGTATTGTGCAGCTTACAATTCCTTAGTAGTTCTTTGCTTGACCTCACGGAATTTTCACCCTATGAGTGAGCAGCTTAGTATTTAATGAAAGTATTCAGTGAAAGTGTCTGCGGACACCTGTGCAGATTTCCGGAACTCTGTTTTCTGCAGTCTCCTGCCCTGCCAGTTCCAGTTGTCTCAGCCTCTTTCAAGTCTGATCTCTTTCTCCTCTGTGCCAGGGTCTTTTTAAAGTGCATTCTGGGGAGAATCCTGGTGACGATAGGACTCACCTTGTTACTTCCCTTCTCTCAGGGACCACAGTCCTATGTGGACTGAAGAGAACTAAGTTGTCCAATTTCTGAAAACAGTTTCATGTATTTTGTCCACTTTTCTAGTTTTTATGGCTAGTGGGCTTAGTTTGGTGGGCTTGCCTGTGTTTCTGTATAGTACAGTTAAAATGATTGTTTGTACTCTTCTGGATACCAGCCTTCAGAATATAACTATCATGCTTCTAACACTTATTTTTTCCAGAGTAAAACACCAGTTTTAGTCAAAGGGTGCATGGTGGAGTTTCTGTGTTATCAGTCTGTTCATTTTCTTTCAGACATGCTCTATCATTCTGTACTCTGTACGGTAGCATTAGTTTATAAGCACAGAGACTTGTTTACTTAGTCCCAAAGTCTGGGATGTGTTGAAATGAACAAATAAGAGAACCATGTAACTAAATGTAAAAAATTAACAACTGTGTATCCCGGTATGCTGTATCCAGGACTTATTTAGATGGTTAGAGGTTCATGAAAGTTTCCAAAGTGAACATGTTGGAACTACTTTGGATGAGTAGACTTTCTGTTGTTAAAGGTAATAACTTCTTTGGAAGAGAATCTATACATGTTCTCAAGGATGAGCAAACCTATATTCTTTAAATGTATCAAGCTCTATGAACATACAGTGGTTACCATACCAGTTTTTCCTGTTTTTGCTTAGATTCCAGCATGCCATGGGGGGAGTACCTGCCTGGGTAGAGAATCGTAAGCGGAAAACCTCTTCTGATGGTAAGTACTGACAACTTTAAGTTAGTAAATAACTTTAAGTTAGTAAATAAATTCTATTCCTATTGTTGTTATTTGAGCTTTCTCAAATTTCTTTCTCATTAAACAGGGTGTTTCAAATATGTCTTTTTAATTTTTCTTTTTCTTTTTTTGTTGATGTCTGGTTTTAAAGTCTACCATTTCTCTGAGGGAATCCTTATTACAATAATCTAAGGCTTACTTAACAGCATATTCTCCATTGTAAGGACAATAGTGGCAAGATTTTATGATTTTTGTTTTCCTCAACAGAACTTTGTTGTATTATGGCATAGGATTAAAGAAAAATGAGTGGTACCGTTACTTCTCAATTCAGATTCCCCTCTGAAGATATTGGCAGCTCTCCAGGAAATAGCTTCCTAAGGAGCACGTGTCAGGTCAGGCCCAGATGATTAGTCGCTCTATAAAAACTCATTTTTCAACTCCAGGTTTTAAGTTTCGCTTGTATGATAACCATTTTGTGCTCTTTATTTTTATTTATTATTATTATTATTATTTTTAATCCTTGCTCAAAGATACGTTTTGCTGATTAGAGAGGGAGACGGAGGGAAGCAGCGGTTGGTTGCTTCCTGTACACGCCCAGAACAGGGAGTGGACCCACAGCCCTTTGGTGCACTGGATGACGCTCCGCGCAGCTGAGCCACCCGGCCAGGGGGCTGCTTTCTGCTTTCTGGATCCTTGAGTTTACATATAGTTGTGATTGTTTTAGCAAAGATCTGATTTATGTGTTGGGAGTTATGAATATTAGGCTTGGGATTGACCTTTGATCTTTAGGGAGTGCAGAATATGTCCTCCTGTGTAACTCAGGGACTCCTTCCGTAGCATTCTTGATATCTGATGAGTTTGTTTGAGTACCACCACCTCTCCTTCCCATCAGCTCACCCGTCTTAGTTCTCACGGTATTCAAGTCCAAGGAACCTATACATAGGAGCTAGTTGTTTTATATACTGCTGTTGGAAAACTCAGTCTGTTATTAAATAGAAGTTTACCTTCTGGTTTCCAGCCAGATATTTGTAGAGGTTGAGGGAACCTTAATGTTGTAGTCTGATTTTGTCCACTGAAAGAACCTTTTCTACAACATCTGTTAGGTGATAATTTAACCTCTGCTTAAATATGTCACATACTGTTGTACTCTTTCTTCCACTTTTTAAAAAAATATATTTTATTGATTATGCTATTACAGTTATTTCAATATTTCCCCCTTTGACACTCTGCACCGGGTAACCCCCTTCCCTCCAGCAGTTCCCCCCACCTCAGTTCATGTTCCTGGGTTGTGCATATAAGTTCTTTGGCTTCTCCATTTCCTATACTATTCTTGACATCCCCCTGTCTGTTTTGTACCTACCAATTGTGCTTCTTAATCTCTGCACTTTTCCCCCGATTCTGCCCTTTCCACCTCCCAGCTGTTAACCCTCCAAATGCTCTCCATAGCTATGATTCTATTCCTGTTCTACCTGTTTGCTTAGTTTGTCGTTTTTAGATTCAGTTGTTGATAGTTGGGAATTTGTTGTCATTTTAACATTCATAGTTTTGATCTTCTTCGTTTTCTTAAATCCCTTTAACATTTCATGTAATAATGGTTTGATGATGATAGACTCCCTTTGTTTTACCTTGTCTGGGAAGCACTTTATCTGTCCTTCCATTCTAAATGATAGCTTTGCTGGGTAGAGTAAACTAGGTTGGAGGTTCTTGCTTTTCACCACTTTGAATACTTCTGGTCAGTCCCTTCGTGTCTGCAAAGTTTCTTTTGAGAAATCAGCTGCCAGCAGTATGGGAACTTCTTTGTAGGTAACTCTGCTTTTCTCTGATGTTTTTAAGATTGTCTGTCTTTAACCATTGGCATTTTAATTGTGATTTGTCTTGGTGTGGTCCTCTTTGGGCCCAACATGTTTAGGACACTCTGTGCTTCCTGGACTTACATGTCTATTTCCTTTGCCAAATTAGAGAAGTTTTTCTTTCATTATGTTTTCAAATAAGCTTTCAGTTTCTTGCTCTTCTGCTTCTTCTGGCACCCGTGTAATTCAGATGTTGGTACATTTGGAGGTGTTCCAGGGGCACCTTATACTATCCTTGGGTTTTTTTTTTAATTCTGTTTTCTTCCTGCTGTGCTGATTGAATGCTTATTTCTTCCTTAATGTTCCAGATCATTGATTTGAATCCTGCTTCCTCTTCTCCACTGTTGGTTCCCTGTAGATTTTTCTTTAGTTCACTTAGTGTAACTTTCATTTCTTCCTTTATGTTGTTGCCATACTCAGTGAGTTCTTTGAGCATCCCGATCACCAGTGTTTTGAACTCTGTATCTGACAGGTTCGTTATCTTCATTTCTTTTAGTTCTTTTTCTGGGGTTTTGTTCTCTTCTTTCATTTGGGTCATATTCGGCAGCCTCCCTGTGTGTGTTTCTGTGTATTAGGTACCCTCATAAAAGGCACTGATAAATTATGTGGGGTGGAGCCTTAGGTAATCGCCAGGGTAGGGCAACCCGCTTTATTGCCTCACCTCCTGGCTCTGTGTGGGGGGAGGGCTTGGAGGGGGGACAGTGCTGCTGCCTGGCTTTTGGAGGTTTGCCTGGCATTCACCCTGTTTCCAGTCACTTTACCCACTTCCTGTATGTGGCCTACGCCCTTCCTGGTAGTGATTCTCACAGCTGGTGGGTTTGCGTGTGTTCTAAATCCATGCAGGCCCTTTAAACGAACTCTCCTGAAAATCTGGTGGTTTCTTCCACCACCCCAAACCCCACGGGTTTTTACAGCCAGAAGTTACGGGGATTTATCTTCCCGGTGCTGGAACCTTGTGCTGTGCAGTCTGGCCTGGGACTGGGACTGCTGGCTCCCAAGGTGTCCCTCCCTACTTTTGTCCACCACACATAAATGTGGGACTGCCTGTTCCACCGTTGCTGCCACCTGTGTGTCATACTATGTCTCCGTGCCTCCCCATCTGTCTCTGTGACTCTCTCCCTGCTACCCGTCTGGATGAATGTGGCTTCTTTAAATTGTTGGTTGTCCAACTTCCATACAGCTTGATTTTTTTTTTGATGGTTCTGGTTGTTACTTGTTTTGAGAAATAGTTATAATTCTCTCTGTGGTTGTGCGAGGAGGTGAAGTGTGTCTACCTATGCCTCCATCTTCCCCTTCTCTTTTCTTGAAGAAAAAATTGTCACGAATTTTTAAATTTTGAAATATGCCTCCTTATACTCCATAGTCCTACCTTTTGAAAATATATAATCTTACCTCTCTTTCATGTAAAAACATTTTTTCTGTTAGAGAAAACTTTTTTTATTTAACATGTTACATATTCCTTGAAACTAACCTTTTTCTTTTTTACATGATATAATTCCTATACCCTTGGTAACCAGTTTGCCCTCCTGGGTGAAATATTTTATTATCGGTTTTAGAATTTTGCATTCAGAGAATCACAACATTTTAGATCCGTGTAATTATAGATACAGTTATGCTAAGCTGTTGAAACAGAAAACCTCTCTGGTCCTAGTGGCTTAATTTAGAAGTTGTCTTTTTATGTGAGTAAAATTGGAGTGGTGAAAAGGTGATTATCTATTTCAGGGACCCAAGTTCATAGAGGTTCTGTCAACTTTGTGCTGGGTCTTTCACAGTTGCCCAGGATACTGACATCCAGTTGGCTTATAGGGAAAGAGACAGAGGTTCACCCAAGGGAGGTTTTTATTGGCCTGTTCTGGAAGTATCAATACATGATATTTTCATCTGTGTTTTAATGGCTAGAGCTCAGTCATGAGGCCGTACTAACTGCATGGGATACTAGGAAATGTAGTTTGACTTTGTGCCCAGGATAAAAAGGAAATGAATTAGGTCAACAATTAGCCAGTCTGCTACCCTCTGAAATATCCTCGTCTAATTCCTTCATTTTACAGATGAGAAGAACTATGATTAGAAAAGATAAAATTGAATTTCCCTTGTGGTGACTAGAACCCAGTTTCACAGTTATTTCCAACATGTTATTTTTATCTATAAGTACTTCACTGAGAGTCTTTAAATGAGAGTATTCCCCCCTTTAAACGTAACTACAGTACTGTCATGTATCTCCAAAATTAAGGGTAATTCTTTAATATTATCGATTGTTTTATTGTTGCTGTTTTAATGTATCCCTCCCCCTTCCTTGCCAACTTGTTAGCTTGCTTTGTGTTCTGCTTGGTCTTTATAGTGCTTTTGAATCTGGCTTGATATCTTTTTTTTAAGTTTTAGAAATTCTTAACTATCATCTCTTTAAATGATTATGTTCCAGTCTTCCAATTACATGCATATCAAATGTTTTTATTTTCAACATATTTTGTGTTCTTTTCTTTATTTTTAATCTTTTTTGCTTTCTGTACTTTCTGATCTATTTTCCAGACCTCTAATTCTCAAACTAATTTTAATGTGCTCCTAAAAAAAGCCTTTGGGATCTTAGTTAATTTCTCTGGTTCAATTCTGAATCTTGTCTTTCATTATTCTGAATATATTAAATATTATGTTTTTAGTTTATGTCTGATAACTCCATTATCTAGATCTCCTATGAGGATTGTGTGTTTTTCATTAGGTTTTTAGTCATGTCGCCTTATCTTGACCTGGTTATATTTCATTGAGTGCTGGGCATTGTTTATGAAAAATAGTATTGATTAGAGGCCTACGACAGTGGTATCTTTCTCCAGTGAATTTATATACAGTTGAGCTCGAAACAACGCAGGTCTAAATTGTGTGGGTCCACTTACACGTGGATTTTTTTCAATTGACCTGCGCAGTTTCTTTGGCTTGCATAGTTCAAACGTGCATTGTTCAAGGGTCAACTGTATTTTTTGCTGGGTGGCTGTGCAGAGGGCACTAGCAATCTCACAGCTGCTTATTCCAGTGAGAGATTGTGATGATTCAAAGCTGGGTTTCCGTTCCTGTAAGATTTTCTTACAGTTCTTTGATTTCACCCCTAATTCTCAGTGTTGCCTTTTGTGTCCCCAACCCAAGGCCTGATGGTTTACCAGACCCCCCTTAAGAACCTAGTAGGGCTTTTAGTGCTGTTCTGCTCCTCTCCCCTTAGTCCCAGGAATGTTTTTAAAACTCTGCTCAGCTTCTCAGCTTTCTTTACTAGAAGCGTTGGTCATCTATAGGGGAAAAGCAGCCCTAGTAGCTCCCTTTGACGTTCTGATACACAGTTTGTTAACATTGATATTTCAGTCAACTTAAAGTTCTAGTTCTTTTTCATGCAAGTTGTGAAGCTAGATCCGTTGTTCACTCTGTTACCAAAGAACTCAGTTTTAAATTAAATGTTGACTTTATTTCAACTTCTTGTCATTTTGTTTTAGTTACTGTCTGTGAATGTGTTTTTCACTCCAGAGACAGGCTTTGATTTTAAATGTATAGAGTTCTGTGTCATCTTTTTCCTCTATTCCAAATTTCTTTTGTAGCTTTATCTTTACCAGTTGCAACTTAAATAAAGTAGTTGAGGCTGGGAGGCTGGGAAGGACTGCAGACATTTGAAGTAGGTAATGGCCATCTCATTGATTCTAAAGATAGCCTTGTGGGTTTGTTTGACTTAGATGAAAGTGAAGAGGATGAAGATGATTTGTTGCAAAGGACTGGGAATTTCATATCCACATCAGCTTCTCTTCCAAGAGGAATTTTAAAGGTGAGAGTCAGTGAAGTTGGTCCTATCCAGCTAATTATCTCAAATTCTATGTGCTTCCCAGTTGTATGCATGGATTCCTTTTATCTGTGGGATTAAATGTGTTTGCTGTCATTTTTGCCTTGGTAAATACTACTTATGCTGGTATTTTTATCCTTTACAAAAATGATCAAGGAAATTAAATTATGTCCCCAGGAATCTTTTAGGAATCCTATTTAGTTTCTCCTTTTGCATTTCTCTTTATTTCTGTTGGCTCCAGCCTAGTTCACACTGCTGGCATCTGCCACTCTGTTTACTGCAGTAGCTTTGTGACTAGTCTCTCCACTTCCACCTTACTTCCTCCTAAACTATTCTACATATAGTAGACAAAGGGATGTTTTATAAATAAAGCATCAAGCCATGTCACTTTTCATTGCATTTTGAAAACTTCTAAATTTCTTATCATAGCCCACACTGCCCTTCATGATTTGGCTTCTGCCTATATCTCAAACTTCATCTTAGACCTTTTCCTCCATCTTTCTTACTCAAGCCGTGCAGGCCTTTCTGTTTCTTGAATGAGTTGAATCCTTTCTTGCCTCAGAGCCTTTGCTCTTGTTCTTTCTGCATGTCTGTCCTTTAAGCACTGCTAATGGGCAAACTCATTATTACCTTTCTGCTTAAGTGACACCTTAGAGAGGCCTCTCCTGGCCATCCTATCTAACATGGCCAACACATTACTTTCTCACTCATCCCTGCGTGTAGCTCGTTCATTGTGGTAACCAAGTGCCTACCCAGCATAGTGCTTCAGTTAAAGATCTGTCAAATGTTCAGATCTCTCTCTAACATGGATATTTTTCCCCATTATAAAACGGTGGCATGTGTATTTAGATGGGGAAGGGGACCTTATTATGGTAAATTACTAATTGGGTGATTCTGTCTCCCCCTACCTGAAGAAGACAATTCACTGAGCGCTGCATAGGGTGCGTCCACCTTCATATAAAATGTAGTGACCATAAAAATCTAACTTCAGTGGTTGCAAACAAAGCATATATATAATACTTTGTTTTTTATATAATTGAATTTTTAATGCAGAGGGAAAACCCTATAAAAACAAAGAAATAACAGAATAGTTCAAATGATGCATGAGGTGGTCATTACTTTAAACTAACAACCATGTACCCTAGAGAACATAAGAAATTGGTACTAATCATAGAACCCTAGGAGTAACCTCATAGTGCCTCTTATTTTGTGCCATGAATGCAGAGATGCCAGAGAAGGAGTTTTAAGTAAAATTTCCCTGGATGTCAAAGCCTCTTAACCCAAATAGGGTATTTCTTGGGGAAATGACTGTATCCTGAGACTCCAAGACCTTAATAATTTAATCCTCTCATTTGAAAGATAGTGTAAGTGGATTATTGTAAAATGACTTGCTAGTTGGTAGTAGTACTATTTCAGTGAGTTTTCTTCTGTAAATACACCCCTCTATAATGTCTTTCCTTAATACTCTAAAGAAAATAATGTTAACCCATTCGAACTGATAAGATTCCAGCTTTATTTCTCCATAGATGAAGCACTGCCAACACGCTAATGCTGAACGTCCTACCACTGCTCGGGTCTCATCTGTGCAGTTCCATCCTCGCGCACAAGTGGTGATGGTCGCTGCCCTAGATAACTCTGTGTCACTATTTCAGGTATGCATTTTTAAATGAACATTCGTGGTGAAAAGTGTTTACTACCAGGATACAGGGTCTGTGGAAATAACCAAAAGGAATGTTTTGTTCTTCCTTATAGGTTGATGGAAAAACAAATCCTAAAATTCAGAGCATCTATTTGGAAAAGTTTCCGATATTTAAGGCTCGTTTTAGTGCTAATGGAGAAGAGGTTTTAGCCACAAGTACCCATAGCAAAGTGCTTTATGTCTATGATATGTTGGCTGGAAAGTTAATTCCTGTACATCAAGTGAGAGGTAAGGTTTCTGTTGAACATATAGCTCATCATCCCGCACTCCCCAGCCTACAGCTGACTTTATTTAACAGTATTTATAGCCACTTATTTTCCTCCCCATAGGATTTTTTTCAAGAGAATTGTTATAAGAGTTTATTTGAGCCAAACTGACAACATATGCCAGGGAGCGAGATCTCAAATGCTCTTGCGGATTCTGATTCAATGGGTCTGGGCTGGGGACTGATTGTGCACTTTTAACAAGCTCTCAGGTGATGCTGATGTTGCTGGTCCATGAAACTTACTCTGAGTTGAAAATTCTTAAAACCATCTCTTCATATTGAAATAGAAAACACTCTATAGTAGTTATTATTTCTTTACATATTCCATTAAGCAGCAGCAGTGGGCTTTAGTTCTTCCTTGTATTCTCTTTGGAAAAGCAAATCAGGGGTTGGCCAAAATACAGTTAATGACATTTACCCTGGATCTGCAGGTATGCAGGATTGTGTGTGCAGTCCTTGGCTTTTGAGACACGTCATTTATCTTTTCCTCTCAATATTTTCCCTTCACTTTCCTTGAAAAGCATAGCTTGGTAATGATGATAATAGTAATAATAGTAATGATACGTGTATTTTTGTGGTGTTACGCTGTTGAACACTCTTCTGAGTCATCATTAAAAAACATTGTAAGTAACTCAGTTAATTAAGGATATTAGAATAAGAGGGGAAGTTGCTGACTAGTTAGGACATGCAAGCCTTATATGTTTGCAGATTTGAAAAATGAAGACTATAGACCTGATGCAGATGGTACATTTGTCCATTGATTTTTGGGTTTCATAATCTGGGGTTCATCCTCTGGGATCCATGGACTCTAAAATTCTCTGTATAGAATTAAGGGGCCTATGAAGTTGGATGGGAAAAATACTACATCTTTATTTTCACTAATCTCTAATTGAAATTTAGCATTTCCTGCAGTTATGAATGAACATCTGTCATTTTGAGAAGGGGACCATTTGCTTCACCAAATTGCCACAGGGTGAATGGCATAAAAAAGGTTAAGAACCTCAGGTTACTAGTTCAGACTCTGTAATTTGACCATTTGAGAATCAAATTAGTTGGCCGGGTAGCCACCATTTTGATGACAGACATTATGGTAACGTAATTTATGAACCTTACTTTTCTCTTCTTGTTGTAAACTCAGAGGGAAAATAAATATTAAAAGAGAAATTTTTAAAAAGATTTTATTTATGTATTTTTAGAGAAAGGGAAAGGAGGGAGAAGGAGAGGGCGAGAATCATCAGTGTGTCGTTGCCTCTCGTGTGCCAACTGGGGACCTGGCCCGCAACCCAGGCGTGTGCCCTGACTGGGAATCAAACCGGTGACCCTTGGGTTCACAGGCTGGCACTCAGTCCACTGAGCCATAGCAGCCAGAGTTAAAAGAGAATTTTTAAAGCTTCTAACTTGGCACCTACCACATAGCAAATGCTCAGTAAATGTTAACTGTTGTCATTGTTAGTAATAACATATAGTCTGTCTGATGATTGATCACAATCTGTTTATGGTGAGAGTGGCATCAGGTTTTAGACCAGACCTTGGTCAGCAACCTTTGTATTTGAATTCTGGCTAAGAAAGAATTCAGAGCCAAGACTCAAATTATAAGAGAAAGTTTATTTAAAAAGACACAGAGGCAGAAGAAGTGAGCTGTATAAGGAATGGGCCCAGGAAAACAAGTTACAGAGGTAAAAGAAAAGCCCTTGGAGCTTAGAAGATGGAGAGGTAAAGGCCACGAATGTGCTTGGAGAGAAGAGGAGGCGGGGAAAGGCTTGGCTTGCTCCCTTTGGTCCTCTGTCTTGAGGGTATTTATTTGGCCGTCTCAGAGGAGGCTCTCGAGAGAATATTCATCAGATTTCCAGGGGTGTCCTTTCAGGGTCGTGGGCTCCACTGATTGGTCAGCACCAGGGCAGGAAGTCATTAGTCAGTGAGGCTGGTCCTGGTGTCAGCCATGGGATTGATTGTCTGGTTTTGCTGCTTTTCTGCTCCTGGAGCTGAAAGGAAACTGAAACCTAGATATTATCTCTGGGGGTTATTGCTTAAGGATATGATAGTGCAAGGGCCCACGTGGGAGTTGAATGAGGCCATTCTTTGGCTCCTGTCCCTTCTTCAAGGGGGTCTACTGAATGACTGGTGACATGCCAGGAGAGGAAAGGTGAGGGGACGGTCCGAGTCACATGACTAGCAATATGAAACGTCGGTGTCTGAACCGCATGACCGGCAATATGGTGGGGCGCGGGGGAGGAAAGGTTACCTGGGAGGCAGGGTCCATGTTTTCCCAGTTTTGCCCATTGCTAGGCACTCAGGGCTTTCTCCCCTGGTGACTTTGTACCTGGCCTGTCGTCCTTGGTCTGTTCGCATCGAACTGCCTACAGCAAGTCTACTTATTGTACTGTGGAATTTGGCTCTATTCTAATTAAAGTGGCCATTCCTTTTCTTATCAATTGTCAGCAGTTGACCTAAAAATTTTACAAATCTATAAAAATATTTGTATTTGACATCTTTAAAGCATTGTATCTTCTTTCCAGGCCATATTATAAATTTCATCTAACTCCTATTTTGAAAGGTCCAGCATTTGTAAAGAGCAATTATAATACCAATACTGGTGTTTATTAGCACTATTTTTTGTAAAGTTAAAGGCAAAATGACATATATGTGCACATAACTATTATAATACGCTGTGGGCTTTGGATGAAAATACACTTATCTCTCTTATTTTTCCAATTAATTGCTAAAGCAACTGCCTGTCCTTATTTGTTGGAATTCTCCTTCCTTCTTGAGGGCAGTCCCTCTCCTTAATTGCCCCTAGACAACGGGCTTACTCAGGCCAAAAGCGCAAGTTTTCGAGCCACCTACAGGCAGCGAGCGCAGTGCACTGACTGGGGAGTGGATCCTCTGGCCCTGTGCCTCTGTTGCTACCACACTGACCCTGTGTTCATCGTGGTCCTGCACAATATGAGGGAACTTGGTTCACTCTTCCTGGATTGGTACCTGCGTAGTATGTGTTCCTCCAAGGCCCCAGTGGTGCCCAGCTGCAGGCTTCAAGGTGACCACTTTTTAGTCTTCTCTCCTGTTCCCACTACCCGATACTGTGCCGTTAGGACTAGGTCTGCAAGTGTGTCCACCTGTCCCGTCACACTGTGCCACCACTAGCCTCCCTTCCTTGCTTCATCAGGCAGTGATAGACTCCTTATGTTTGGAGCTGTTTCTGCATACTGCACTCAGTACAGTTTGCGCAGAATTTGGAAATTCCTAAGAAAATTACTTAAAAGGAATAGAGTCATTGTGAAGGAGACTGGTCATCAGCAGAAGTTACCCCTGTGATTGTCTGGATTGATTCTAAGCAAGGCACCTAGGGTGTCGTCTCTGGGGACAAGGCTGGAATGGGAGGCCCAGTTTGTAGCAGTGGAACCATCCGGACAAAGACTATTTATAGGATAGAGATGGTCTGTAGGGAGCTTAACCATCATTTTCCTGTAGGACTCTTCATTAGACTTTTCTTAATTCAGTCTCTCTGATCAATATTTTAACTTAGAACTTAAATTTTTTAAAATAACTTTTTCATTTGATTAGGCAGTCTGCTCACAGGTGCAAAAATCCAATATTTAGAAATGCATAAATAGTGAGAACTCTTTTCCACTTCATTTCTTTGGCTACCTATTCTCTTCCCTGGACGTAGCCAGTTAGGCCCTTTCTTTGTCTATCCTTTCTATTAGGCAGCTTTTTAGTGGGTAACTTGGCTTTCTAAGCAATCTGATATCAGGAGTCTCTTGTATAGTCAGCATGAACCTTTTAGGTATGGAAAAGAGACATGTTCCTTTGTAAATAAGTAGAATGACTCTGGTTTATATACCCAGCTCATTTGACTTGGTTACATGAGTCACAACTTGAGAAGCTAATCTATTCCTGAATACACTGACAACTTGTTGTTTTTGGTTTTTGGGGTTGGTTGGTTTGTTTTTGCTTTTTGTATCCGCAAGTTAAAGATTAGACTCTCAGTTCATCATGGGATGTTTATTAGGTGGACAGCAACTAGTTTCTGTATGTTGTTATGTTTTTGTCTCTCTAACGTCAGTGAAATTTGTGGCAACAGTATAATTTATCCTTTTAGTTAGTTATGGGTGTTACAGCTTACATTTGGAAAATTAGTTGGTAGGTTTTAGCATTTAGAAAGCTGAGTCTCTGGTCTGCACTTAAAATGGTGAATGTTAAGAGAAAAAAGAGTAGTTTGCTAAGCACTGTGGTGAGTGACCTTATACTTGGGTCATACTCAATGCATGGGGTGAGACTTACTCAGTATCTGAGCATAGGTTTTGTTTAATTTGAGGCCCTTAGATATTTTCAAAGGTCAGAAACTCAGTGAAAGATAGCATTATTGAAAACCATACTAATCTTTATTTGATTCATTTTCCTTTCTTAGGTTTGAAAGAGAAGATAGTAAGGAGCTTCGAAGTCTCCCCAGATGGGTCCTTCTTGCTCATAAATGGTGTTGCTGGATATTTTCATTTGCTGACAATGAAGGTGAAGCATTATTTGTTGTTGCTTGTTTTTATGGGATGAGATGTTAATGCAGGGATGGTCTTGAACCATGAGTCATGGTTCCCTTACATCTGCACCTCAGGGAGAGGAGCACGGTGGCACTAGGGGAGAAGCCGTGGGCAGTTGGGGGAAACTTTGGAGTGCAGGGAGAAACAATGTTCCGTAGGGGCTGCAAAATGGAGAACGAGCTTGTTTCTGTCCTACACAGTGTGATTCTTCTGTGTGCCTCCTGAAACAATTTGATAGGTAATATTTATTATTCTTTTAGACTAAAGAATTGATAAGTAGCATGAAAATCAATGGAAGGATTGCAGCATCCACATTCTCTTCAGATAGTAAGAGAGTATACGCCTCTTCTGGTAAGTTAAGTTAATGACATGATGATCAGACGCTTCTTTGAAGCTTTGAATATGTTCACATTTCAGATTTAACAAAAAACTGTTTGATTTTAGACTTTTTTGTTTTAGTAAGCAAATCCATTTTATTTTTCACATGTATTTTATTTTTGTTGTTGCCGTTGGCCTTCTCATTTACCATTTAACATAATACTGCTAACATGTTTGGGGAAAAGATGGAAAGTAAATGCTTATTTAAAAGAGAAGTTATTCTAAGACTGTCTTTCCATTTGAAAGTTACCTAGAATCATTGCCCCTTTTCTTTTAGCTCCTTCTGACGTATGGAATTTTCTTTAGTGTTGACCAAAAGCAATTCAGATCTGATCTTCCCTGTTTGGAATTTTCCTTAATTGTTGACCAAAAGCAATTCAGATACCATCTTCCTGACACTTCTTGCAGGACCTTTTTTTTTTTTTTTTTTTAACTACAAGAGAAAGTTTCTTTAGAAAGTCACAGAAGTAGAAGAAGTAAGCTGTAGAGGGAGGAAACAAGTTCAGAGGCAAAAGAAGGGCCCTTGGAGCTGAGGCGAGCAAGCGCTGGCAAGGAGCCCAGCGGGGAAGCCCTCCTGGCCGGGGAGTGCCTGCAGTAGTGTTGGCCAGCTCTTGATGATCCCTGATGGTCTCTCATCTTGTGCTTTCCTGCTCTTCTGCCTTTTGATTTCCCAGCATCATCTTTAACTCTTGCTCCCTTTCCTAAAGGATTTTGAGGGTTTTCCCAATCTCAGTATAGTCCACGAGGTGTGGTAGTGGGAGGCATTGGAGTAGTTCTGCCGGTGAGTGATATCTTGCAGTCTTACTTCATCAAGGAGCATTTGATAATATACCGTAAATATTTTTTAAAAAATTTTAAATGAGGATTAACTTTAACATTAATTTTAATTTTGTTCTGGTTTTGGCCTACAATCAAACTTTCATAAAGCGGAGTTATTTACATTTGTATTTTTTAACCAACTAATGTAAGAAGGTCAACAATATCTATGTTCCCTGTAATATGCTAGGTCTTCTGAGAGGTAAGAAATAAATATTGGTTTAATTAAGGACAGTAATAATCCTAATGAAATGGCCCTTAGACTCTGGGAGAGTCAAAGCTGAGAGAAGAGGTGCAGGGTCAGCAGGAGTAGTGAAATTTGGTATGTGAATTGGAGGTAGATGTAAAATAATAACAAATTTGGTCACTATGGTGAAGGTCAAATTTACAGTAAGAAAGGTCCTAAAACAAGGAAGGAGTAATCAAAAGTCAAACCTTGGTAATCAGGGGTTACTTGTATTTTGTTTGTTTTTCTCCCCCATCCTCTTTTCCTCTTCCTTTTCTTCTGAAAGTAATGTATGTGATTGGCATATTGTTCATATTATTATGTATAAACAGTGTTTTGAGATAGAAGGAGAGTTGCAAAAAAGAATTTCCCTTTTATCTTTTTCCCCAGTTTCTCTTTTCTCATGGATTCATCATTACCTCTTTTGCCTTAAGATGTCAACCACTTACGACCATTTAATGGACTTGCTTTCTAGATGTCCTTCCTGCCCTTGATCCCTACTCTTCCCATTTTAGTCTGTTGCGAGTTAATCTTTAAACACCTTTCTTTATGGTACTATTACCCTGCAGACAAACATAAAGTTTTTGAAAAATGACCCTATTAAATTTTTCCAATTATGTTTCATTGCCACCTAACTTGAACCCATATGCCAGCCTGGGAAATTTTATTTGTTAAGGAAATAGTTGAAACAGGAAGATATGTTGAATTCCCATTGGGAGGTTAAGAGTATACGGAACAGTGAACTTTAGAGCAATACTCGCAGAAAAGGAAGAGCTGAAGTAGGTCAGAGAGGAGCTACCTTTGAGATGCATGTAGGGACATTGCAGAAACGAATCTATGACGGGCGTGGAGAAGAGAGTGATCGCCAGTACTGAGTGCTACAGGAGTGGGGAAGAATGAAGGACTGGTTTTGGTGATTAGATGGCCATTTCTGTTACGAAAATATTTGTGATCACTTCAGATTGAGTGTCCATTCTTCTACAAATTCTGCCTTCTCAAAACTGCTTATTCATATTTAGTATGTCTTACTATTTAAATAAATCTGTTAGTCAATAAATTGTGTATAATATCTTAATTAAATTATAAAGTCCTTGTGGTCTGTACCAGTTGATCCTTCATTTCCTCGCCTCCATCATCAGTTTGATACCTAAGTCACCTAGCCTTACGTATTAGGTGCTGTCATACCCATTGATGGGTGTTGGAAGACCTATACTGGTGGGTATTTTGTTTTTTGTTTTTTTTTGTTTTTTGTTTCAAATTTGCTCCAGTGACCTGAGTGAAATGTAGAAGCTCTTTCTAAAAGCTCAACTCAAACCAAGAATTTGTGACTTTCACTCTGATGATACTTTTTATTAATAACTAATTGAGGATACAGTTTTCTCTACATAGGAATGTATAAAAGAAATATTTTTAGGCTAGTTTTGTAGATCCATGATATTAAAGTAGGTCTTTATTTGTAGTCTCTGGTACTATTTGAGAGGGACTAAGAATGGTCAATTCACTTGACTTTCAAGTTTAAAGCAAAATTAACCAAACCTTTTTTGGTTCTTTCATTCAGCGGATGGGGAAGTTTACGTGTGGGATGTGAACTCTAGGAAGTGCCTCAACAGATTTGTCGACGAAGGTAGTTTATATGGATTGAGCATTGCAGCATCTAGGAATGGACAGTATGTGGCTTGTGGGTAAGTAAAGAGAGGTTCTTGTAACTTAATCACATTGTACTAATGAAAAAGCACTGAAGAATTGATATACCAGATGGTGCTTAAGTATCAGTAGTTCTGTTTATGAACTATTCCGTAATAGGAAATCGGTAAACCCAGGTCTTTTACATTTTGTCATCTTAATGCAGTGTTTAATATTATCGGTGGCTTATCAGCTCTTTAGCAAAGGAAATACTGGACTGCCTTACAGACATCATTGTATTTTTTTCTTGTATTTAAAGTATCCATTTGATCACATCAAGTTTTCCTATTGCTCTTTTAGCTACTTTGCATTGATGAGGAAGTAGAATAAGGCAGGCTTTGAGTTTAAGTCTTAAAGACACTTAAAGCACTGTTGCCTTCATCTGGTGAGGTGATAGAAACTGAACACATGTTCCTTGGAAATACTGTTTGTTAGGATTGTAGAAATTTTGAAAATTTTATCTAGGACACGTTATTGTATGATCATAGGAAAAAATGGTTATGACATGGGGGAGAGATGGCTTTAGCCCCCTTGATTCTGAAGATGTACTGTGGGAGGAGGGGCAGTAGATGCTTACCTGTAATTGATACCTGCCAAACCACCTGTCAGCACCTGTGATTTTAGAGCTTTCAGCAGTCAGTTTTTAGGACTTCCTTAGACTAAACACAATTGATCCGCAAAGAAATTTCAGTCAAATCTTCCCTGAGTGGGAGGACAAATGGGTCTTACTGTCCAGAAACATAGCATACTTTCCATTTTTTCTTCACTTCACTCCTTCCTTTGAGATGAAAAATGGGGAAACGCCCCTGCCACGTTGGAAAATGGTAGAGTTTGGAGAGCAGGGTGGCGTCACCTGATCCGCCACAGGCAGTAGGGCAGTAGCTGGTAACTTGGTGTGGGAGTGCCCTGGCCAGGGCCCCTCCCTTTCCTGTGTTACCTGTAGTCACCACACCTATGCCAAACCTGGAGGGAGGGGCTTCTCAGCGTGAGCCCAGTGTTTGCTGGAGTTGCGCACACTAAGGCAGCAGTTCTCAGTTCTCAGGGCCTCTTGGGGAGGAAGGCTCCTTTCACATGAACACTGGTGTTTAAACTAATTATAGCTACTTTTAAGCAGAACTGCTTTTGCCTTTATGTGGGGAAAGAATAACTACACAAAATGACCTTTGCTCAGATTTGTGAAATGAGTCTTTTTCTGATCCTTGCCTCTCTATTTTGTATCACTTTTATTAATCCTCTTTGAAGGCCCCAAACAGGAAAGACTCTGATAGTAGTAGTTTAAATTCACTTGATTTTAATTTTAATTGCCCTTGAGTGTAATTAAATTCTGACATGTTTAGTTAAAGAACATTATTAGATTTTTATTGTTAAACCTGTAAAGAAAGGCTTTAACACTTGTTAAAGGGACTTCTGATGTCATCAGGTAGGTGGGACACAGTTACTGCGGGTGTAGGAACCAGAGGCGGGAGAACCTGGCTGAACCCGCCTGGCTGGCTGGCTGGCTGGGAGTCAATTCCCTCATCCTTCTCTTCCTCTCTCTCCCTGTCCCTTAAACTCCCTTTCTTTCTCCCCCTCCTCTTCTAGTACTGATGTGAAACCCTTCTGTCTTGTCTGCTGCTGCTGGTAATTAACTCCTCCTTTGATTTCAAAACTCTGTTAGTATCTGTTAACTCTTCTCATTCAGTGTGGTGACATAAAGTGGATGCTTTCTGTCTGCTGTTTTGCTCTGATAGGGAAATGGGGAAACTAAGGATGTTGTGAACAGAGAACTCTTTTCATTGATGTTGCCGGCTTACGCTAATCTAAGGATTGTCAGTTCTGTAAGACCACAGTCGTTGGCAGAGCAGGGTCTTGCGCGCTGTAGGCTTACTTTGCAGGTCGGTGCCCTTCTCACAGCACTGGGGGGAACCTGTAGTGCGGTTTTACCTTTGCTGTACCTTCTGTAAATAAAGCAGCGTGTTTCATTTTGTGACTCCCTATCTGGTTGACAGATCAGGCAGGAAAAAAAAACATTTGATTGACCACTACGTACAAAGCTCAATAAATTGAAGAATGTAGAGGTGTTTGAGACATAGCAGCATAGCACTTTCTCTCCCTTGCACATGACAGCCCTTAGTATGCATGGGCCCTTAGGACCTCAGGCCTCAGAACGTATCTCCGCAAATAAGGTGGCCCCAGAGGTGTCTTGGAGAATCCCTTTATTTTGTTGCTGTTGCCTTATTTTCTCTGATTATAGTGAAGTTAGGAATGTCTCATGTTGCAGCCATTGTACAGGTCAGTAGCTTGGGCTCTTGCCTTTACTGAGGGTGTGCAGGCTGCAAACCACTTTGGGAGTGTCTTTGCATTTCGAGAATTGTAGGTCAGTGCCAAAGTATTTTTAAATTTTACATATTTAACATACACTTACATATTTTATATTAATTCATATATTAAATATTTGTAAGATTTTTGTATTTCAAATCAAAGTTCTATCCAGTGATTAGAGATTTGTTGCCTTTAGCCTTTATCAGCTTCTTAAAAATACACAAATTAAGATTATCTTTTTACTGTGGTTTCCACCTAAGTATTTTCAGGTTGTATTTTGAAGAATTACTACAGGAAAAAGGTTTATAATATTAGTAGCATAATTTCTTTCAGCATTTAGTATGTGCCAAGGACTGTTCTTTTTCATTTATTTATTTATTTTTAAAAGATTTTATTTATTTTTAGAGAGAGGGGAAGGGAGGGGGAAAGAGAGGGAAAGAAACATTGATGTGGGAGAGAACTATTGATTAGCTGTCTCTTGTACATGCTCAGATTAGGGACTGAACCTGCAATGCAGGCATGTGCCCTGACCAGGAATCAAACCAGCGACCTTTTGTTTTGCAGGGTGATGCTCAACCAACTGATCCTCCTGGGTCAGGGCTGTCCGTTTTCATATATGACCATATATGTATGTGTGTACCTATATAATATAGAGGAGTCTGGCACAAATAATGCCCCTTTTTTATTACAAAATTATAAGCATGTAATTGTGTAACATAACAATATCACACTCAAGCACACCATATGACATTTTAGATGAAATGTTCAAATTAAAACTATAAAGTACTACAACCATATTATTACCCTACTAACCACACTCAAGCAGGCCTTACTTCTGCTGGACCCTGTATGTTATATAATATAATGAGGTCTGTCTGGAAGAAGTTCAGCCATTGTTAATATAATGAGAATGGTTTGCACAACAAGGAGAGTGGACTGGAACGCATGTGCATGAACAATGATGACTTCACTGCACTAGTCAGTGGGGGCAGTAGATGCTGTCGAGTGAGCATGTGTTCTCTGTGGCCATTGCATTCAAAATGACTGAGCAAGTAGAGCAATGAATCTGTCAAATTTTGTGTTAAGCTTGAATAGTCCTCCATAGAAACTATTTGTATAATTCAGAAGGCCGTGGCTATGGGCAGCTGGTGATTGGCAGCTTCATCATGATGCTGTGTCAGCTCATCCACTCAGGTATCATCATGTCTCATGTAGAGTTTTTTTTGGCAAAACATCAGATCATCCAGGTGGCTCAGCCCCACTACAGCCTGGATTTGGCACCCTGTGACTTCAGCCTTTTCCCAAAACTAAAATCACCTTTGAAAGGGAAGAGATTTTTTATCATCGATGAGATTCAGGAAAATGCAACTCAGCAGCTGACAGCAATGGGGAGAACTGTGTGAGGTCGCAAGGTGCCTACTTTGAAGGGGACTGAGGTATCATTGTCCTATGTACATTGTTTCCTGTGTCTTGTATCTTGTTCAGTAAATGTCTCTTTTTTTCCTATTCTATGGCTGGATACCTTCTGGATACATTGTATGTTAACTATGTGTATATGTGTGTATATAAATACTTTTGTATATGAACTAATTTAATTCTCATTTCCTACTCCATAATGTAAATACTATTACCTTCACTTTACAGGTGGGGAAGCTAAGGCACTGTGAGTTAAGTAACTTGGTTAAGGCCATCCAAGTAGTAAGTGGTAGAGCCAAGAATACAACCCTAAATAGTCTGGTTCCAAAGCCTGAGCTCCTAGCTATCCTGCGACTCTTTTTTAAGGCACACCTCTCTCTCTCTCTCTCTCTCTCTCTCTCTCTCTCTCTCTCTCTCTGTGGGTGAGTGTGTGTGTGTTTAAACACAAATGGTACAATTAGTAGGAGTTTTGTACATTAAGAAGTGTTACAAGAAGTAAAGAAAATTTTTTTAAAAAGTAAAGAAAATATATAGTCCAGTGTGTCTTGTGTATGACTTTTTTTGTGCCATCTGTATAATCCCTCTGGAAAATCAACTTCAGTCATTCTGTGCTTCAGCTTTTACATAGCTTTATCTTTTACCTTTTTAAGCTCTAAATGTACCTAGGGTTTCTGTTTTTCCTACTTAAATCTGGGTTTTAAATTCTTAGCTTAAAACTTTGCTTTAGGGTTTTTGTGATTTCTAAACAACCTAACTGGGTTTGGAGGATGGAAGCTAGTCTTCTATAACTTAAAACTAACAAAAAAGTTTCTCTTTCATCTTTGTACTGTAGGATATTTTCAGTATTAGTTTATTCTCATCACGATTGTTCTTTTCCTATTACTGCTCCATTTGTTTGTATGTCTATTTTTAATTTCTGGATGGAGCTTTAGTCTGCACGTCCATCACAGTAACCACTAGCTACATATGGCCATTTAAATTTGAATTAATTATAATTGCAAATTTAGTTTCTTTGTGACACTAATCACGTTTTTTTAGTTTTACTCAACATTTTATTGTTCCAGTGTATTTTTTATTATTCAGTTACAGTTGACACACTAGCCACATTTTAAGTATTCAGTAGCTACCTCTGTCTTGTGGCTTTCATATTGGGCAGCACAAGAGACTATTTCTTAATCCAGTTATTTTATTGATAAGGAAGCCGAGGTCAGTCAGGTGCAATTTCATTTTTGTTTATTGGTTGTTACGTATTAAGCTGGTTATTGGCAGAGCTGGATCTGGAACGCAGGTTGTCTATTTCCCAGTTCTGTCTTTCCATACTGCCCACCCCCCGAATATTTTGATTTTTTTAAAAAAGAGCAGTGGATAATTCAGGGCTATATAAAAGTGAAATTTATTGTGATTTAGGGCCTGGAGTTAGCAGTCCTTTAATTTTAGCACTCCCAAATATAAAAAGTGGATTTTTACTTCATCTGCAGAATCTTCAGGACAGGTGTGTTTCAAAATGCAAGGAAAACCTGTTTTATTCAGTGATGTGTTTTTGCTCTGGTTTTCTTATTCATAAAAACATTTTTTGAGCATTAAACCAGGACTTGTGAGATAGAAGAACAATGCATGCTCACCTTATCGTTCATGATCCCATGGGGAGAATACGTACTTATCTATTTCTGCTTACAGGGCAAGTCATCATAAGGGCTACAGTTTATTTCAGGTAGTGCTTTTTAAGAGTCTAAGGAATGGTGCAGGCTGTTACAAAGGAACACCTGGGAAAGCTTTTCTGGAGATCTTGGCATTTGAGCTGGGCATTTTGAGGGTCAGGTAGGATTTAGAGTAATGAATGAAAGTTCCAAGCTGTTGGAAATTACAATCCTCATTATAGAAAGAACCATGGATTCATAGCATGATCTACAAGACTTCAAATTTATAAACAAGTGGGGTTATTTCATCAGTGGGCACTGAACACAGTGGATAAAGTTGTTGTTTGGGTGGACCTAGAGGTGTCTCATGTGAAGAACTGCTTCGTTCAAACAACCGTTCATGTTTGGTGAGCCAGACGTTTGCAGCTTGTTGAGCGGGGCTGTCAACTGTAAATATTTCATAAAAAGCCAATGCCTGGCTTTTACCTCTTTGCTCCAGATCACCGTATTTCCAACATCGTAATCCACTTCTCCAGTTTCGCTTATACATTTCCTTAACTGCATTTGAGTTTCCACAAGAAGACAGAGCTTTCTGGGCCTCTTTAAGGGTCAGTGAAAACAGCCAACTAAGATCCTTGGCCTCAGAAAACCCTCACCAAGGGGCCGAATTGGAAACTGGCCGCTCATGGACATGGCACGTAGCTCAGAAATGAAGCCCTTGAGGAGTGGTGTGGGGAGGCCCACCCCTGCAGGCCGGGCCACCCCGGGCTCCTGGTTCCTTCTCCAGATCCAGAGCACGATGACCTCTGGCAGGGGCGGGGACCCTTGCACACACGGCCACCAGCAGCGCCGCCTTTGCGGCCCTCCCCTGAGTAACTCAGGATGGGGCAGGCACTGTGAGCCTCATCTGCTCCCCGAGGGCAGTGGCGGAGTTGGCTGCAGGAACTCCTGGGCCCGCGTAGCTTCTCATTCCCTCTCCCTTCCCTGGAGGAAGAGCAAGCAACAGCTATGGGCACGACTTCTTAGGGTGACGAGGGAGCCGGGGGGCAAGATGCTCAGATGGGCTTGTTTTTAATCTGTTGTATTCCCTTTTCTCTTTGCAGTTCTAATTGTGGAGTGGTAAACATATACAATCAAGATTCTTGTCTCCAAGAAACAAACCCAAAGCCGATAAAAGCTATAATGAACTTGGTTACAGGTGTTTCTTCTCTGGCCTTCAATCCTACCACAGAAATCTTGGCAATTGCTTCAGAAAAAATGAAAGAAGCAGTCAGATTGGTAATATCCCTTTACCCTTTCCTTTCATTATTGGTAACTTTAAAATTTAAGTTGAAGACATGGCAAGATAACAGGAAAGAAGAGTGTTGGATTATTTTTAAAAGAGTAGCTTCTTTTGATGTAGAAATTGCTAGTATTGTAGCTCTGGGGTGTGGTTGTGTAAAAGATGCACTGTGGCCACCAGATTTATACCATGTCAGATCTTCTGGGAAAGCTGTGCTGTCACCCTAACGTTTCTCAAGTGGCTGTTCTTCATTTCAGAGGTTTCTTTCTTTCAGCATGTTGTTAAGGAGTATGTTTAAGGCAAACACTTCTTTCCTTTACAGTTTTCTTTCCTCATCTACTATTTTAAGGCCTCTTGTCTCAACGGAGTGGCGGCAAGTCCTAGGTTTTGAAAATAAATTGTATAAAAAGACTGCCATTTAAACAGCTAGACTAGGACTTACGAACATACGTCTGTGCCAGGAGTCCCCAGGACCCCTCCCAGGTTTGGTGATTTTGTAGGAGGACTCACAGGACTCAGTGTATGGTTGTACTTACGGCTGAGAGTTATTTCAGGGAAGGGATACAGTGCAAATCAGCGTGGCACAAAGTTCTCTCCTAGTGGAATCACGGGACATGGGGAATCCCCCCAGTGAGATGGGGTAACATATGTTAAGGAAGCTCATTAGAGACTCAGTGCCAACACTTTTATTGGGAGTTGATGTAGGTACCCTCTGCCCAGCATGCACCAAAATTCTAGGTTCCCAGAAGTAAAGGCAGGTGTTTAGCGTAGACCAGATGGTACAAATGGTTTAGGCACAGTGAGCCATCCTTGTGATTTAGAGAAAGTTTCAAATCAGTGTAGAGGACTGTTTACCATTCAAGTTCCCAGATACCATGGAAGGGCCACCATTGCCAGTTGGGCTTTCTAAGGATTAGCAGCCTCAGGCCTATGTTAACTCTTCTGCCCAGTCTCAGAGCTCAGCTTAAGTGGCACTACATCTCTGTGAAGTTTCTTTCCCTTTAGGCAGACTCAGTTTCTTCATTCATTTAACAGTTACTTGCTCTTGGCACCAGGTGTACAAGATGGCATAGAACTTTGAGTAGCAGTATTGTATTGTGCTGTTGTTACGTGTATACTACCAGGTTGTAAGCACTTTACAGAAACTATTATTTTTATCTTTAACTTAGCAAAGAGTCTTGCGTACTTCATCAGCTTTGTATAATAGTGTATAGTTTACAAAGATTTACAAAACAGCTCTACAAAACACTTGGAGTCAAATAACAGTTCTCAGAGGATTAACTTACCCCAAGTCAACAGCTAATAAAGGGCAAAACTGTGTTTCTATATTCCATAGCTTTTCTAGCACTTCAGTTGTTTCCTGTTGAATTCCTGAGCCCTAGCATGTGTGCAAGACTCGCAATGGCAAGTAGGGCAAGGAGGAGGCTAAGCTCCCACCTGTGTCACGTGGAGCAGCTTCACTGTCATCTGATGCATATTGGCATGCTGTGTAACATCTTTGAGGGGGGAAGGATTCTGCTAGAATGAGGTGTTTGAAAATTACAGCATTGTTTTATTGCCTCTCTGTTGAATGACTCATTTGATAAACAGGAAGGTTCTAATTCAAGTCAGCTTTAAAATCTCCGTTCTGATGGGATTGGTGGACGAGTACATATTAATCATTTATCCTTTTAATGGTAGTAAATTGTTTTATAAAACCTTGGGATCTGTCTCATGTTAATATATTCTGCAAGATGCCTAGTGGTTCTGCCTAGTTTGCTTCAGTAATCATGACAGCATTTATGGTTATTGTGGCAAAACCATGCAAGGAATTCGTTAGTAACAGCCAAATCCTGTTTTTTAAGTGTTAGTCAATCATAATATCTAATGGGAGGAAGCCAGGCATAGGAACTTCAGAATATCTTGGTGAAACTATGTTAGCATCATTAACTGCAGTCTCTTACAATGATCTAAACAGTGCTGTTACCGCAGCACAACACAGCAAATATCAATCTAAACCGTTGCGCCACTAAGAGACCCTGAAGTTCAATTGTTATTACATCTATAATCTTGGGTGTATTAGAAAGTTGTAGAACTTCTTATCCATTAAGTTAAGGATGAATGAGCTTTTACTTGTTGAATATTGATATCTGGGCCCTTAAATGTAATGACAGAAATTTGTTTGGAGATAGAGGCAACTTTCTGAGGTAAAGACGTTTGGATTTTATGGGGCTTTTTCTTAATTAATTGTTCAATTATAGCTTTTAATACAAGGTCCATAGAGAGAGGTTACAGCATAGTCACCTTCTAATGAGGTGGAGTTGTTCGTCTGAGGGAAGACATACTAATGCACTGAGAGAGTGCACTGGGGACTTGGTACATCGCTGTAGTAGCTGTAGTCAAGTCTCTTAGGAGGACATCTTAACCAGCATTGTTTTTTTTCCTTTTTTTGTTTTTTTGTCCCCAGTAGCCAAATCAATAGAGGAGATAAAATAGAACAAGTTGTTGCTAAACTGGTGTTCATTTCCATTAGAAAGAGCACACTGGGAAAGCGTGGCCACTTGCTGTGAGTGCGAGGTTATTTGGCGGGAAGGCGCTTGCGCGGGGACTGGTGCTCTGTTCTGTTCAGTTAGCTTCAAAAGTACACAGCTGCCTTCGTTAAAAATAGTCTTTAAAAAAATTGCTGTGTCTTGTGTCCCAATTTTTGCCGTGTAAGGAGTTCCCTATTTGTGATCAATTGACTTACGTATAAAGTTACATGAATCCAAATTAGGAGGCTGTTTTTTCCAAGTTCAGTTAGAAAATAAAAAGCGTGGTTCAATATCATTATCTTAAGAAGACATTCATGTAGAAAGGTTGGTTCTGGTATATTTTATTTGGAAGAGTCAGAAAAGCAGCTCCCCAGACTTCTAAGTCATGACAGAAAAGTTACTGAGCAAGTTTATGGGCATAGTTTAAGAGTATCAGGTTATATTTAAGGTGGAAACAGAAGTAAGGCATGGGACAGTTCTGCTCTTGGCACTTGCAGTAAATGGTTATTTCCTAATGGTCTCCTCCCAGGATGCCTTGCTTCAAGGCATCACCTGTTCCAAGATAGTGCATGCTTGGAGGATGCAAACTTATAGTAACATAAGTAAAACAAGAAGTCAAACCACTTGTTGATTTCTGCATTCCCAAACTAAGTGTAAATACATTTTGCAATATCCTTACTGTGGTTTCGTTCGAAAAATGCTAGTCTGCTTTATACTTAAATTTTTCAAAGAACTGGTACAGCGTGGTGTTTTAAGAAGTTTAAAAGTTAAGATCAAATTGGGTACTTTAGCTTCTTAGCTTTAATGGGTCAGATCACTTCCTGTTAACACTAATGCCTTTGCATCGATGTCATGCTATGCAGTCAGAACCTGTTTTCTGGAGAAGTTGAGAATAATTGAAAATGGCTTGGATATTCACTATAAACTTTATACTTTCTTGACACAATAGTCAATAAATATATATCAGGGACTAGGACGTAGTAAGTGACTGCCTGTGAGACCGTTTAATAGACATATATTAATGGTGCTTGTCTATGAAAATCATCTTCATTGGAAGGTTTAAAGTCTCATCTAAAAATATGGAGGAGGACAGATAACCAAGGTAAAGAGTTGAATGATAACTATGTATTTGAACATGAGGGTGCTGTATTTCTTGGAGGAGCTAGAGAACATTTGAAAATGAGAGTTGTTAAAATCCTCCTCTGCTGAGGGAACTGATACTTGGGTTTTATTTATCTTCAAATGGGGTGAGGACTTATCTTGCATATCTTGGACTTGGGCTCATTTTTCCCAGAAGTAGACGTCCTTGGAGAAAGAGACTGCGTCTCTCTGTGTGTAGGCCTGGCCTTGAGGTGAGCTTTTGGCTCTAAATCAGACAGTTTCACTTGAAAAACTAGGTTTTCATGATTCAGTCCTCCTTGAGAGATTGCAAAAGGCAAAGAATGTGTCACATAGTTGAAAAGTAAAAGTGAGAAAACGGAAATTATATGATATTGGAATACTTGGTATGACTCTGCCTAGGCTTCAGTTATGTAAAATCAGACTCTTTGTAATGTCTAAAATATTTGTTCCCTGTGACAAGTTTTAGTATTATTTACTGTGGTCATTAAGTTAGAGCATTAATGGGTATTGCTATTGACTTTTCACATTAGTTCATTCATTCATTTATCCAGCAAATACTTGAATTTCCCAGGCACCATGTTAGATGCTGCATTAAAAACATCAAGAAAACACTTTTTTCTCTTCCCTTCCTTTCCTCTCAGTTAATAACACATTGAAAATCAAATGTTAATTTTGGAATATTTTGCTACATTAATGTGTACTACAATCAAAATGAACTTTTTGTTCCAGCTAAAAGATAGAATGAAGATTAAAATTTAAGAAAGCTTAGTGCCCAGTTGTTACAATTTAAAGCTTTTTATTATTTCCTGCAGGTTCACCTTCCTTCCTGTACAGTATTTTCAAACTTCCCAGTCTTTAAAAAGAAGAATATTTCTCTTGTTCATACCATGGATTTTTCACCAAGAAGTGGATATTTTGCTTTGGGGAATGAAAAGGGCAAGGCTCTGATGTATAGGTAGGTGTTATTTATGTTTAAAAGTCAGAAATACCTATAATCTTCTTTTGAAAATGTAAAGTGATGCTATTGTTACATTTCCTGATTTTCTAGTTATATACTGTTTGTGAATTCATTAATTACAATGATAAAGTTACTAATAAATTGTAGAATGTAGAGCTTGGCATCTCATCTTCATTATCTAACAAAATGTGCATTCTTCTACCATAAAATGTCACTAGCAGAAAATTCACCTGGGGATTTTTTTTTTTTTTTTGAACTTTATTTTGAGAATGTCAAACTGAGGAAAAGTAGTCACTTTAATAATAATGCCACTTTCTTGGTGCCTTATGTTTAGATTAACCTTTGTTGATTTGGCAATTAGCTATTTACTTCATTAGACTAAAAAAAAAAAATGTTTCTTTCCATGGAGGTGTAAGCTATAGGTAAGGATGTTAACCACAAAGATATTCAGAAGTTATGCTCTGCCCAGGTTCTTTTCTGCACTCAATATTCCTGGCTAGAAAGCAGGAACAAGTGAAATCTTATTGCATTGTTGCCAGAAGATATAGGTGACAGGTGCCTCTTGAGGGCGAAGTGAAGAACCAGAAACCTGTGACTTAAATCACAGCCCCCTCTCCTTGCTCCCTTGTGCTGGTAGTGAACGCTGCATAGAAGCTGTGGCTATGTTTGCATGCTCCAGAGAAGGCCTGCTTTCAAAATGAAATGAAATCCGGAGTGAAGAAAAGGAGGCATGTAAATTGATTCTGAGAACATAGTTGTGAAAAGAGAACATAGCAAACAATAATATGGCTTCAAGTTCTACTTACTTTGAGAGGAAAAGGGGTTATATACCTGGAAAATTGATATATTCCATCATTTTCATTTCAGATCAGTTTTGGTGATTCAGTTTGGATTTTACAAAAGAATGCAGTCTTACTACACTTTGGAAGTTTCTTCCAAAGCTTTGGTTTATTATGAGTGAATTTTTCTTTTCTTTAAGCCAGAGGACATTACAGTTTTCACCAGAGTATTTCTCTCTAGTGAGAGTTTCTAACAAGCAGGTTGGACTGACAACATTTCTTTTGGGTATGGCTGATCAGGACCCCATTTGATGCTTGGGGGCAAGCGTCATGCTTTTCTCTCAAATCTGAGGCGTTACTAGCATTAGGACCCTTCAGAACGTCCGTCTGAGAAACCCTCACCCAGCTTGCCCGGCCAGGGTGATTGCATGGCACTCCTCCCGCACCCTGCGTGCAGCGTTCCTGAGTGCCTTCTGTGACCTGATGGGCGGGATGCTCGGTAATTGCGAAGGTGTTTAGATTATTTGTCTTTTACTTTTTCAGGTTGCACCATTACTCAGACTTTTGAAGAGATTATTTGAGGTAAAAAAATCCTTTTAAATTGCTTCTTCACTTTTTAAGATCACACCTGTAGCTATCAGTGGCAGAGAAGGGACTGCATTTAGCTGACCTGTGTTTCTTTGCCCCCTGGGTTGCTATATGCACAGTTAGAAGAGTGGGATGGAAGTAGGTCAGAAAGAGCCTGGTTGGACTTGACTCTCCCATCAGAATTTTTTTTTTTAAATTTTTAAAAAGACTTTATTTATATTTAGAGAGGGGGAAAGGAGAGGGAGAGAAACATTGATGTGAAACAGAAACATGTATTGGTTGCCTCTTGCATGCCCCCAGCTGGGGACCTGTCCTACAACCCAGGCATGTGCCCTGACTGGGAATCGAACCGACGAGCTTTCGGCTTGCAGACCAGCACTCAGGCCACTAAGCCACACCAGCCAGGACTTCCTTGGAATTCCTTTCTCCAAATCATAACAGTCTGGCTCTTTTCTTCTGAATTCTGCTCTCTAATATTGTAATTACTGACCATTTAATCCACAAAGGACAATAGCCTGAACAGTGAGAGATAAATATCTTCAGATATAATGAAAGCTTTCATGAACTCAAATCCTCTTATTTTGTATATTCTTCTTGGGAGACTGTAAGTAGCTTGCCCTGTAGCTAGTTAATAGTGGCTTGTCACAGACCTAGTTAATATCTGGTCATTAGTTTTAACACAGTAGGACATGCTGCTTCTCCCATGGCTTGATCTTGAACCGAGTGAGATACGGTAATAGTTCAGAGCTTGAGCTCTGCAGCTGGCCTGTTGATCACAACTGACTAATTTGGTCTTTGAGATTCATAAATGTTGAGGAGAGACTCTGGAAATGGATATAGATTTAAATAGAGAAAAGAATTTTTCAAAGTAGAAGAATGTTAAGCAAAACATTAGGAGGGTAAAGCAGTCTAGCTCTCCTCCCTTCCAAAATTACATTCCCAATGCATGTTTATGGATCAGCAGTTACAAATCAAGTGTGTAATTTCTTCTGTTCTTTCCTCAGATTCAGTTGAGTCGCAAGAGAAGCCTGTCCTGATAGATCTTCTCAGAAACTTTCCAGAATGTGTGATAATATGTGGATAATGATTTGAGCCAGCTGTACATATTTAACAGGAATATTTTAATAAACACATGGCAACTTTTGTTTGGAAATAAACGTATGTGGTTCTTCACTCGCCACCTACACTCAGACACACTAACTTGGATGCATTTAAAACTGAACATGAGACATTGGAAACACCTATTTGTAGCCAGTTAACATAGGCAGATGTTTTCATATTTCATAGTTAACCCTTATTAATATTTCTCCCTTTCCCATAGATCTCTCCATGTTTCAGGGTAACAAGCAACAGAGGCTCTGATTGGCTTGACATGAGAGTGATGAGATCTCATAGAATGGATTTTGACCTTCCAAGATTTTCTGGAAAAGTGATTATGGAAATGGAAAGACTATTCTGGTCTTGGTACCGCACATGGTTGTGATTGTGGGAAAGGAGGCACATGAAAACCTGTTAAATTTGTCCTTCTAATTATTAGCCCACTCCCCTTCCCGGAAATATTCCTTACCCTGACTCAGTTGTTTCCTTTAAGTTCCAATGTTGACAGTTAACTCCATAATTCTTTATTGGGATTAGTCCCTATATGTCATAGGAAAACTGACACTAATACCATGTATTTATGAAGTATTGGTAATGAGAAGTACCCAGTTGGTCTGCGAGCTTTCACCCCACCTCTTTGCTAAAACATGGAAAGCTCATGTGAGAGGGAGAAGTTGTTCCAGGGACAAAAAGTGGCTCTGCCCCGAGAAGTGACAGATCCCACATCACTGTATTCAAACAGGTCAGTGGAGGGTACCCCACTGTCTGCAAGGCCCTTCCAGTTCTGTTGGCAATGACCTGGAGCAGCCCTGTGGGTGTGGATTGTGTTAACATACCCCAGCGTCTTCCTAAAAGGACATTTTTTATTAAGATGGGCTATTGTACAATTGTGGAGACCATTCCTCTGTCCTTTTGTAGCAACATGTTCCATAAAAAGAATACTAATGCTAAACATTTCATCAGATTCCCAGCTCCAGTTGACTCGTGTTATTTCTCTTTTGAGTTGGTAGAGGGCAGCATTGGATCATGAGAGTAATTGAAGGAAGAAAGCTTTTTATACTTTTTTTTTTTTTTTTTTTTACCACCTTGTCTTTAGCTTCTGCTAGACCATTGTTTGTTTCAGAAATGGTCACCAAGCCCTACATGTGCTTACTCTGCATATGGTTTTCAGAGGCTGAAAGATGTACAGGCGGTTACCATTCTAGTGAAAATGATGGAAGTGGAGTTTAAGTTTTAACTCTAACATCTCTAGGTCATTTTTTTATACTCTTGTAGGGGCAGAGTAAAGAATTTCCAGTTCTAATCCCCAAGATAGATAAATGTGCTGTTTGTTCTACAGAGAGAGGTGCTACCAATCCTGTGTCTTCTAGTGTTTTTTCTTCACTCTCTGTGGAAGTTGGGAATTTGAGTCAGGTTCTTAGTGCCTCTCTTTGTAACCAGGGCCAAGTTAACTTGTCAAGGAGATGAGAGCCACAATCATGAACTCATTTACGCAATTCTGTTGGCTAAGTTAGCATGCATGTAGCTCATACCTGCGTTTTGCAGGGGGTGGGGTGTATCTTGAGCTATGAGGTGATATGTTGCCATCACAGCCCCACAGCATATAGTTGGGTTTATTTGGAGTGATGAGTTGGCAAGTTAAAAATCCAGTGGATCCCACTCATCTCTTCTCGTTCTCATTAATTCTTCATTGAACTGAAGAATTATTAGTCTACGGGACTCTTCTATTTGAACAAATCACAGGTGAGAAGCCTCTTGCCTTACTGTGTGTGTGTTTCTGGTGAGGCTGTAATAACCCTTCTCAGCCTGCACGGAACAAGGTGACCAGCTGCAGTGTTCATGACCAGCATTTTTACACTTGAGCTTGGGAATGGCGGGGGAGGCAGGCAGAGGCCCGTGAAAATGAAGTGCTTATGCCTGCAATCAGCCCCTCTGTTACTTGGGGTCTCAGTTAAATCCATCTCCAAATTCATCATACAACAAACAAAAAGCATTGTCCGTTCTGTTCCTCTTACCTGGGGGAGACGGGGGCTGGCGTCGGAGGCGTGGGGAGAAGGGAGAAGGGGGGGTCAGAGCCGCAGTTCTGAGTGAACTGGCTTGTGCTGACGTCAGGATGTTCGTCTCATCTCAAGAAATTCTCCTTGTTCTTCTGTAAGGAAAGTTATGTTTTCTTTTTGAAGTTCCAAGAGGTCAGACATCTAATCTTAAAGCCATTATCCTTAGAGTGGTCTTCAAAGTAGGCTGTCCACACTCTAATTTTATTATTCAATTACAGTTTACATTCAATATTATTCCATATTAGTTCCTGATATGCAGCAGAGTGGTTAGATAATTATATACTTTACAAAGTGTTTCCTCCAATATTTCCAGTACCCACCTGGCACCATACATAATTACTACAATATTATTGACTATATTGCCTATGCTGTACTTTATATCTCCCTGACTATTTTATAACTGCCAATTTGTATTTTTTAATTTTCTATTACAATACATTTTTAAGTTGAATTTATTGGGGTGGCATTGGTTAATAAAATTACATAGGTTTCAGGTGTACAATTCTATAATATATTTTCTGTATATTGCATTGTGTTCACCACCCCAAGTCAAGTCTCCTTCCATCGCCACAAATTTGTACTTCTTAATCCCTTCATGTTTTTCATTCAGTCCCCCAAGTCCCCTCTCTTCTGGCAACCTGTCCTGAGTATGTTTCAATTTTGTTTGTTTATTTTGCCCTTTAGATTCCGCATATAAGTGAGATCATGTGGTACTTGCCTTTCTCTGACTGACTTCACTGAGCATAATACGTCCACCATGCTATCAGCAAATAGTAAGATTTCCTCCTTTTTGATGGTCAAATAATAGTCCATTGTATACATGTAACACAGCATTTTTGTTCATTTATTTGTTGATGGACACACGCGGGTTGTTTCCATATGTTGGCTATTGAAAATAACACAGGGTGTGCATACTCTTAACAATATGATACGGCCGATTGGATTATGGAAAGGAAACAGACATTGTATGTTGTGCAAAAGTATTTTTTGTTTTATCATGTGGATAAGTTATAAACAAATATGTTTATATCAGGGGTATATGTTCAAGGGCTTTCTATGAAAGGGCCGCTGATTTAGAGGTCCAGCCTACTGCCATACCAAACTTGGCACAGCCTAAACTGTTTTCCCCACCCTTCTCTCTGCTTTCCCAGATTTGTTTCTGTAGTCCCTATAATGTTAACGGCACCTCCATTAACCTAGTTACCTAATCTAGGTACCTAACACTGACATTAAATGTGAGATTATTCTCTACCCCAACCCCCACCACAGAGACTACAAAGCATTGTTTTTTCTTTCAACAAATCCTTTTTTCCCCCCATCCTACCATTTCCTCAGTTTTCATCAGCTCTTACCTGTTAATCTCCTAACTGGTCTCATTATTTCTTACTTCACATTTTCCATTGAAGCTTCCTGTTGCAGCCAGAGATTTCTTAAAATATTTATATGGAAACTTAATCATAGAGAAGAAGAGAGACTACTATAACAGACCATTGAAGCATCGCCAGCTTCAGCAACGATCAGCTCTAGGGAATTTTTATCCATATCCCTACCTGTAAACTCGCTGGTTAGTTTGAATTCAAGCCAAGATGTATCTCATTTGATCTGTAAATATTTGAGCATGTATTGGAATGTGCTTTAAAAATTCAAATCTCAGCATAATATTCTTGCTTAAAATCCTTTAGCAGTTCATCTCTCCCAAACTCTTCAGTTTCCCCACGTATGGAGAGAGCATAAAAATAGACCTGCCTCGTAGGACTAGTTATTAGGTTCAGAACAGCACCTGGCCCAGAGCAAGCTCTCAGTGAATGTTAGTCGCTGTGATTATCATCATGACCACGGTCAGGTACGAGATGCTAGTCGGCTCCTTCGCTTGGTGGAGGGGCCCGCTATTTCTGCCTCTTCCCATCTCTTCGCCTTTCTCACTCACCTTGTGCTTCAGAAATATTGAGCTATTTGAAATTTTCCTGAATAAGCCAGCTGTTTTTCTCCCCCATGCCCTTGTTTTTGCTGATGCTTCCTGTTGCCTTTTCTTTTTGTGCCTTTCAAACTCTGCACATCTAGCAAGAGTGAGATGGACTTCTGTTATAGTCTTTATGCCCTTTGTGGCATTTCTTTATTTATACTGTCTTTCTGTGTAAGATTTGAAGTAGCTTTCCAAATCACAGTACAAAAGGAAAATATACATGAACCAAGGCCTGTGGAAATACAGGGCAAATTAGAACTCAAAATATGTAGGCCATGCATGGTTCCTAAAGTTGAGCTGTATTCTTACCCCTCCACCCCGCCACCAATTTTTGGCCTCAGCACTTACTCTAATATATTTTTTTGAAAAATGCATTTTTTAAAAAGTGAAAGTCCTCTTTTTCCTCCCTCCCTATGGGAACCTCTGTTAACAGTTTGATGGATATCTTGCTAGTAGGTTTTTATTGTTGTTATTGAGTCAATTATGTGTTTAGATGCAAGAAACAGAACCTGGAAAATAGTGGCTTCAATCATAAGGACATTTGTTGTTTAAGAAGTCTAGAAGTGGTTGACTGACTTCAGAATCCATTTGGTGGTTCAACAATACCCATTGCTGGTTGGTGTGTCTGTGGTTCTTTGCCAGTGTGTCATGGCTACAAAATGGCTGCTGCACCTCAAGTCCTACATCTTCACACAACATGAGAGCATCCCAAGCTGGAAGGAAGGGGATGGGGAGAAAACAGCTTCTTTCCTGGCAAGGCTTTTCCTTTTGATCAAAGGAGAAAGTGGTCCTAGAAGTCACCCTGCAGACTTTGCCTCATGTTTCCTTAGCAAAGAGAACCGATTTTTCATAAAACCAGTCACGCTTCATCCCAGGAGCCTGCTGGTCCTGAGCACATAGCTAGTTGTCTGTTGCCTGAGAAAAAGCTCTGGACATTCTGTCTGTAAGGAGGCAGGGGGAACAGGGAATGACTGTTGGGAAAAAACCCAACTTTGCTTACTACAGGTACATGCACGCATTAAAAATTTTTTTG